ACTCCTCCTCCTCAGTGATTGGACACTAGGATCCAACAGTAGGTTTTAACTAGACATTCAATTTCTTCTAGCAGGTATAAGACAATTTAGTCTTTCTGTTTCCTCGCAGGGGAGTTTTAGCAGGTTGAGGGTTTAACAAATTGGTCCATTTTCTTCTGAACTATCAGACTTCTGTGCATATCTCTTTATCAATCTTGTCAAAGAATCTGCTTCTGTTTTTTTATTTTCTGATCCTCATTTTGTTGGGGCTTTGAGATATAGTTTCACTATGTGGCACAGGTTAGTCTTAAACTTGTAGCAATTCTCCTGCCTCCCCAGTGTTCAGTTATAAGCATGTGCCCAGGTAACTCTACATCCAGTGTGTGTGTGTGTGTGTGTGTGTGTTTTCCCTTGCTGCTTAGGTCGGCATAGAACTTTTTTAAAATGTCTTTTGGAGACATGGTTTCTCTATGTAGCCATGGCTATTCTGGAACTTGTGATGGTCCTTCTGTCTCTGCCTCCTAAATGCTGGGCTTACAAATGTGAGTCCCCTACTCAGTTTCAGTCTGGAATCTACAGGCTTACGTGATTGTTTTGCTTCAGCCTGAGATTACAGGTCTGTTCCACCACCCATTTCAGCTGTTTTCATTGTTGCTGCTTTTCCTGATTTTTCCATTTTCAATGTTACTGATTTTTTTCTCTTAGCTTTATTATTTCTATTTTTTTCTTAGTTTGTTAAGGAGGAAAATTAGTATCTCCCCCACCCCCATGTGTGTGTGTGTGTGTGTGTGTGTGTGTGAAAGAGAGAGAGAGAGAGAGAGAGAGAGAGAGAGAGAGAGAGAGAGAGAGAGAGAGAGCGCTTTGCTAGGTAGCCCAAACTTGCCTTAAAACTTCCTATTCTCTTGTTTCCCCCCTGAGTGTTGGGAGTATAGGCATGAACCACAGTGCTTGAACTAGATTAGCTATGAACTGTGGCTCTTAGTCTTTTAAGATAAACATTTAATGCTATAAATTTTCCTTAAGCAGTACTTACTTATATCCCACAAATTTTCTTCTTTCTTTCTTTCTTTCTTTCTTTCTTTCTTTCTTTCTTTCTTTCTTTCTTTCCTTCCTTCCTTCCTTCCTTCCTTCCTTCCTTCCTTCCTTCCTTCCTTTTGTTTTGTTTTGATACAGGGTTTCTCTGTAGCTTTGGAACCTGTCCTGCAACTCACTCTGTAGATCAGGCTGGCCTCAAACTCACAGAGATCCGACTGCCTCTGCCTCCTCAGTGCAGGGCGGGGCGGGGGGGGGGGGGGGATTAAAGGCATGCGCCACCATTGCCTGGCTCCCACAAATTTTCACATGCTGTATTTTCATTTTGGTTTGGTTTGAATGGTTTTCTTTTGAGACTAAGACTCTCACTTTAGAAAGGTGCTGCTGTTGCTGGAAGAGCTGCCACAGGCCTGTAAAATCCCAGCACTCAGGAAGCAGAGGCAGGAGGAATGCCACAAGTTTGAAAAGCCAGCCTACACAGTTAGTTCTAGGCTAAAAAGTAAGACTTTGCCTCAAGCAAAGTGAAGCGCAAAGCCAAAGCCAAACCAAACAAAAGAAGAAACGAGCTGTTCGGTTTTTAAGTACTTTTGCAGATATTTTTTTTCTATTTGCTTCAAATTTAATTCCATTCTGGAAAATACTTCTTTTTATCATTTCTAAGTCTTTTTAAGTAGGCGGAAGAGATGGCTTAGCCATTAAAGGCACAACTCACAATGAAAAAGATTTATCCTTCTAAGTATGTCAGGATTTGTTTTACGCCATACAGTGTGGTCTAATGGTGCTTTATGTGCACCTGAGAAGATGGTGTGTTCTGCTCTTACTAGATGAAAGATTTCATGAAAGCCAATAGGGTCCATTCAGTTGATGGGATGACTCAATTATTGATCTACGGACTTATAACATCAATTATTGAGAGAGGTGTATTGAATTCTTTAAATGTAATTGTATATTTTCCCATTTCTGCCTCTATTTGAAGCCATGTTGTTAGGCACACGTGTTTAGGGTGGTTCTGCCTTCTTGGTGAAGTAGTTACTAGACCCAGATTCAGGTGTTCATCCCATGGAAGACCAGTGCTCGAGAGATGGATGCTGGGATGATGAAGGTGTAGCAGAAGGGGTGAAGGCTTTATTCAGCGAGCAAAGAAGGGAAACTGGTTGCAAATGCCCACAAGCCCATTAGCCAAGACCCTAAGACAGGGAATCACAAGTTCAAGACCAACTTACACTACACATAAGTTCTTGGTCAGCCTGAACGACACAGCAGGACCCTGTCTCGAAAGCACAAAACAAAACAATAAATGAATGAATGAAATTGGCTCTCTCACCATATATTCAGGTAGGAATAATGAGGGAGATGGCCAGGAAGTGGGAGGACTATTCATGGCACTTCTGGGACTAGGTGGAATTTTCTAAGAGCTGACGAACCGCCTCTTTTCATGGCTTTCTTGATCTGGTGTTTCCAGTCTTGGTGGCTATAGGTGTCATTAGCCTCGAAGGCTGGGTGAGAGACAGACTAGGCAAGTCTAGCTCAAGTGAAGCCTGTTTTATAGTTTTGGGCAACACATTTCTCAAATGTTTCAGATGCCTACATGTAGAGCCCAGTCCTGTTTGACCTGAAGGTTAAGGCAGGAGATGAGACAGACAGAGGGCAAGGCTGACTTTTCATCCATCCTAATTACCTACCTGTCACCTGCAGGCCCAAGCAAAATGCCCGTGTTTTCAGGCTCCTGAAGCCCCGCTGGCAATCACAGCCACAACCCACGCAAACATAGAGGTAGTGGGGGCTAGCGATGAGCTGCCTAGCTACCTGACCTCCAAAGTCAGTGGTTTCTAATGTAACTGAGAGCTAGTCAGGATGGGGTTTCTTTAGGTTTCCCTGCGTGATACAAGAGGGTCCACTCATTCTCTGTGAAGGAGCTGGTTTTGCTCTGACAGGCAGCTTGGCCTCCGAGTTGATTCTGAAATCTTGCAGAGGGCATCTCGTGGGGCAAGGTTTTCCTCCTGGTGACAAACTGGCCCTTTTATCATTATGTAAAGTCTCTCTTTATTCCTGGCCATTTTTCTTGCTCTAGTATTTATCTTATATTAATATAGGCACTTTGGCCTTATAGCTGCATATATATAGCTTTGTATACAATAGACCTTTTATTTTCCCTTTATATATAATATTATTTTTGTTTGTTTTGTTTTTTTGAGACAAGGTTTCTCCAAACCCTGCCTGTCCTGGAATAGTGTAGCCCTGGCTGTCCTGGAACTCAGAGATCCACCTGCCTCTGCCTCCCAAGTGCTGGGATTAAAGGCGTGCGCCACCATGTCCAGCTCCTTCATTGTTATGTGTGAAGAATTTCTTGGGGGCCTCTTCTGAAGTCAGAATTTAAAAGGTGGCTGTAACAGTTAATGACTCTGATCCCAGTACTTCAGAGGTTTAAGTAGCAGTGTAGAGCTAGCCTGGGCTACAGAATAAGACCATCTCAAAAAGGCAAGAGCTGAATACAGTGGCATAAGCCTGCAATCCTAATACTTGGGTGGCTGAGGATTGGCATGAGGATGAGGCTAAGCCTCAGTTACAGCAGAAAACTCTGTCTTATTTGAAAAAAATCAAACTAAACAAAAGCCTAATTTAAAGTTGGGCATAGTAGGTCCTGCCCATAATCTCAGTACCTTGGAGGCTGAGGCAGGAGAATGACTACAAATTCAAGGCTAGCCAGGGCTACACAGTGAGACCCTATCTCAGAAACCAAACCAAACAAAACAATTTAATGTTTTTTGCATTTTAGTTTGTGGGTTCAGACAATTTACATTTAATGTAATTATAGTTTTTGAAAATAGTTCACCATTTGGTTGTTTTCTGTTTATCTTTATTTTTGTTTCTCCCTTTGCCCGCCCACATTGTCTTCTAGGTTATTTTTAAATTAATTATTATTATTGTATGTTTGTGTAAGTATGTGTGTTTGGTTTGTGGTATGTGGTGTGTGTATGTAATGTGTGTATGTGTATGGGGTATATGTATGTGTGTGACGTATGTATGTATGGTGTGTGTGTATGTGTGTGACTATATGTGTGTGTGGTGCATATGTGTGGTGTGTATATACGTGTATGTATGTGTGCATGGTGTGTATGTATGTGTGTGATTTGTGTATATGTGTGTGGTGTGGTGTGTGTATGTTTGTGTATATGTGTGTGTGGTATGTGTATATGCATGTGTGTATATGCATGTGTGTATGTGGTGTGCCACAGTGTGAATGTGGAGCTCAGATGACAACTCTGTGGAGCTGGTTCTCTTTTCACCTATGCATGGGTCCCAGGGGTGGAACTCAGGTGGCCAGGCTTCTGTGGCAAGCACCTCACCTGGCTAAGCCACCTCCCAGGCCCTATTTAAATATTTTAAGTGTACTATTTTAGCTCATCTATTGTGTAGGGTTTTTGTTTTGTTTTGCTTGCATAGCTTGGGTCCCAGAACCCTTATTAGGGACAATAAGGGAATAAAGAAGTGACAGGCACATGTACAGAGAAAAGCTGATACCAGGCTACCTTGAAACTCATTTTATATCCTGAGCTAGTCTCAAACTCATAATAATCCTTTTTTTTAAGGTGTTGATTAAATCCAGGGCTGTGTGCATGCTAGATAAGTTCTGTATCACTGAGCTATATTCCAGCCCCAAATAATTTATTCATTACTTTTAGATTAAATTTTATTTTGTAATCTTGGTTCACTTTGAATTCTCACCCCCCTGCCTCAGTTTCCTGAATACTGGGATTGCAGGCATTTAGTACAGCAGCTGGCTAATTTCTCTCTCTCTCTCTCTCTCTCTCTCTCTCTCTCTCTCTCTCTCTCTCTCTCTCCATTCTCCCTCATTTCTCCTCCATACCTCCTCTCCGTCTCCCTCCCTTTCTTCCTCCCTCCCTCCCTCCCTTCCTTCCTTCCTTCCTTCCTTCCTTCCTTCCTTTCTTTGTTTCTTTCTTTTGAGACAAGGTCTCTCTACATACCCCACCACTGCCTGGCTGCTATCTTTCTTTTAAAACATGCAAGGCTTTAATACCAGCACTTGGGAGGCAGATACAAGAGGATCTCTCTTGAGTTCGAGGCCAGCCTGGTCTACAAGAGCTAGTTCCAGGACGGGCACCAAAGCTACAGAGAAAGCTTGTCTCGAAAAAACCAAAAAGAAAAAGAAAGAAACAAACAAAAAACAAACAAACAAAAAACCTGGCACAACATACAAATCAGGCCTTCATCCCCGTGCTCAGGGCCAACCAAGTGCAGGTTGTCTCTGTGAGCTGGAGGCCAGCCTGTCCTAATAAGACCTATCAATCAGTCAGTCAGAAAATAAAAATAAACTAGTCTATAGAAATAAATTGATGAGGAAAGTGGAATTTGAAACTGGGTTTCATTATTTTACATTTTTTTAAAAAAGAAATCTTTATTTTATGTGTGTGTTTTGCCTGCATGCATGTCTGTAGAGTAAGGTACATTCCTGGTGCTCTCAGAGGCCAGAAGAGGTCATTGGATCCCCTAGAACTAGAGTTACAGATAGTTGTGAACTGCCAAAGGGTGCTGGGAATCAAACCCAGGTCCTCTAGAAGAGCAGTCAGTGCTCTTAACCTCTGGTCTATCCCTCCAGTATCCACTCACACCTTTTTGTTTTTAAAATGTTTTAACACAGGGCATTACTCGGCAGTCCTGGCTGTCCAAAAGCGAGCTATGTAGCCTGGGTGGCCCCAAACTTACAACAGCCTCGATCTGACTCTCAGGTCCTGGGGTCAGAGGTGAGCAGCCCACGCCCAGCTACACTGCTTCTTTATAACTCACCCTTTGGACTGAGGTGCCCATTTGTCTCAAACTGTTAGAGCAGGTTCCTAGAATTGGTAGATAGATACACCAGCCTCCTTATTCATCGCTATAATGAAATACCCAACGAGAAGGCAAATGAAAAGGGGAAGGGTTTGGGCTCACAGTTTGAGGGTACAGCCCATCATGGCAGGGAAAGCAGCAGGAAGCTGCTTGCTCACCCCTGGGCAGGTGCATGGTGTTCCTCACACCTGGGCAGGTGCGTGGTGTTCCTCACCCCTGGGCAGGTGCATGGTGTTGCTCACCCCTGGGCAGGTGCGTGGTGGTCCTCACACCTGGGCAGGTGCATGGTGTTGCTCACACCTGGGCAGGTGCGTGGTGTTGCTCACCCCTGGGCAGGTGCGTGGTGTTGCTCACCCCTGGGCAGGTGCATGGTGTTGCTCACCCCTGGGCAGGTG